CATCGGCAATCAATCCATTTGTATATTACTTCCGAAATGAAGACTTCCGCCAAGCCTTTCGCCGTACCTTTCGCTGGTTGGCCCGTGGACATAGCAAAGAAAACACTAGAAACACCAGGCCGATATCAAACAGAAACCCGATGGAACAAAATGGTGAGAGATCTGGAGATAAAGCGATTAAAGAGACAGTGCTCTGCCATTGATAGACGATGTTGAAATACCCTCCGACTTTAGTTTGTAATTTTTTTTCTCAATAGTGATTTTAAATCTAATAAAGAGATCTACTTTGAAACAATTCTTAATTCGGCTGTTTCTTTGGATATCTCAGCAGAATATAAACTGTAGTTTATATTCCCTTTGAGGGGTCGGTAAATTCAATATGGAGGAGAAGAAGCCATTTTGAACTGGTTACTGAGGAAACTTGGAAAAGATACCCGAAGCTCTCTCATTAATTGCCTTTTACTTTGTCGCAGCTTTTTGTCGCAGAAATCTACAATCGTTGCAGGAAAGATGCTCTCTGTCATTTAGTCGCTGCAGTGAGTCACACGAATTTAAACCACTTTGAACTCGTGCGACTGATCGCAGAAACAAAATTCAATCGCAGCGACAAAGATTTCATAAAACCCATCATGTTGCGCAGGAAGACACTAAGCACTTTATTTCAGCTCACGTCAGCGCATCAAAAGTGCGAAAGTTCGCCAGTCTTTCTCGTAAATAATTTTTAGATCCAAACTGTACAAACTTTCATTATAAAAAAGTTTTCTTTATATATCATTTATTGTTATAATTAACGAAAAATTTATGCGATGAAAAAGTTATGGTCGGTGGCAAAATTTTGACAAGGGCAAAATTATATGTCAATCAAGTCTGACTGAACTAAAAGGAGTATTTATTTTATTTTCGTTAGAGCATCAACTGTTTACTAGTATGACGGGCACCAAGCCAATGGTTTGATGAAGTAAAAGCGAGTGCCCCAACCCAAGGCCATATATGATATCTAATTTCCCCATTGTGACACAGCCAGTTTGCTTTAAAATTATAAAAGTTAACCAGCAGCAGAACTAAAGTGGGCATCCATGTGATGGTGCAAGCTCCTAAAACAAAACTGACTGTTTTAACAACTTTAACATTTTGCATACTAAGTCTCCAATATTTTTGCCTGTATCAGGCGCCTTTTTTTAGCTGCTAAAATGCTCCTGACTTGTTTTCTAGCTAATTTGAAAATGCATATATAGCAAAAAAAAAAAAACAGTTATAATGGAAAGACATACGATGTACATGCAAAGAAAATAATGAGTTCGCTTGGATCCTTTCATGTGAGAGGGTACTTTATTAGCAAAGGGAGACTGGATGAGATAAACCGCGCCGAAATAATGACTGCAAAGTATCTCCTCTTACTTAAAATGTCCTAATAACAGAAAGGAAACTGAATCACCATAAAACGGTCGATTGGAACACTAAACGAATTCAAAGCAGTCGCCGCGGTTGTGTAAACCTACAGCAATAATGTAATCTTTAAGACTTTGCAAGAAACTAATGGCTGTATCCAACAGCTGCTAACAATTCATAAAGGATCTATGACGAATTGTTCGTAAAGACTTGTTTTCGTAGAACAGCCGTAACACAATGACATTTCCAGTTACAGCGGCTAAGGCAGATAAGGAAAACCACGCTGAAAGGAAGATGGTTACTGCACGGCTGAGATGTTTGTGCGGTAAGGTAACGTCCATGTTAATTTGGTGTAAACTCAAGACGGCAACAACAGAAGTCGAGAAATAACTATGAAAACGTCTGAAATCTGCAACTGCCTGTTCCCTTTAAAATTTTCCTTGTTTATATGCAGTTAATTAGCAGGGACGTCTTTTTTATATTCAGTCTGTTTTAAATTAAAAGGTGAGCGTGAAATTAAAAATATCCGAAGTCGTTTTTAAAAAAGGCTTGAAAACTTAAATTTTTGTGCTATCCTCTACAATCCACCAATGTTAAATAACTGGATCTCCAACTATTCGTCGAAACTTAAATAAAATCAACAAAAGTTCCCCTCCTTCCCCCCCCGGACAGGAACTGCTTCCGTGACAAGAAAAGCAGGAGACAATCAACAGCAACACAAATGAAAAATCTATCGACCTAATAATTTCTTTTTATTACGCTAAGCAAGGACTTGGTCACATCACTCTTAAAACAGGTCAGGAGGCACTTGAATCTGCCCAAACCAGATTTCAAACTTGACGCTGGATATTTACGATTTCTTGTCTCACTCAACAGTTAATGAGAGAAATGTGTTGATGAGTCTTGAGTTCAAGACTGATCATAAAATAGTCGGTAATAAATATGGGTTCCTCGTCATTTGCAAGTTAAACAAACTGAAACTGAAGGATCCACGGCATGTTAAGAAACTGCTTTGGGCTTGATCCATCACATGGATTCCCAGTTTAGTTCCGCTGATTCTTGAGTTTATGCCTTATTGTGCGCACCGAGAAAAGCATAAGAAACTCTGGACTGCAATCAGCCGGAAAACGGATGGCACGAAATAACATGATAGCGATTAGAGAGACAGAGCTTTGACGACATCTCAAATGTAACAAGACTCTCTCATTGATAGACGATGTTGAGATCGACTGCAACTTTAGTTTTTGCATGTTTTCGTAAAAATAGGGAGTAGAAATCTGATAAAAAAATCTTCTTTTCAACAATGCTTATTTTGGATGTCTCCTTGGTAACTCGTATTACGTCTTCACATTCCTTACATTTTATGACTT